CAAGGCACAGTGAGTTGTTCTAATCGCTCATTGACTGCAGAAAGTGGATTCATATTTGTACTTGCTCTGTTCACTCCCAAGTGTGTCTCAGAGCTCTCAGTGGGTGAGATCAGCTGACAGCGTTGGTAGAAAACAATCAATTTTTCCTGTTTGATTAGCATTCTTACAGACAAATGATTTGAATCACATTATAGAAGAATCAAATGAGTTTCAGAGCTGATGTGAGGAAGAGGAATGGACTGGGAGAGGACTGGGAGAAGGAAGAGGAAGGGAGGCAAGAATGAAGTCTCCCCTTTCTGGCATCAAGTGTCAGCTGCCTCTGGACTAACAGCCTGAGGCAGTTGTCCCAGACTGTTGGGACAACTTCAGCTGTTCCCAATGTCTTGTTTTGCACCTAGTAACTGTGAATTTCTTACAGAATACCTTTTGTTTTCTTTCTTTCCTATGGGCTTGTAGGGCCAGGAAGACTCAAGTAGAGGCTCTGATAACTCTAGCTATGATGAAGCTTTGTCCCCTACATCTCCAGGACCCCTGTCAGTAAGGTCCAGTCATGGAGAACGGGACCTGGCAAACTCTAGTATGGCCCCACCTACCCCAGATCTACATGGCATCAACCCAGTCTTCCTGTCCAGCAAACCCAGTCGTTGGAGTGTAGAGGAAGTGTACGAGTTCATTGCATCACTGCAAGGTGAAGTCAAAACCCTCTCCTGCAGTCCTGGGATACAGTAACACGGGGAAATTTGTTGTCTCTTTTTCTGGAAAGCAAGTGGTGTCGGTGCCTAGTGCTATTATTGTACTTTTGTACATGTTTCTGAATTGGGGTAGGTCATACAGAGGGATGACTTGTACTCCTCAAACAGCCTGTGTCCTCAGGCAGACTGTTGAGTACAGTGGGGAAGGGGTTTGGTTAGATTCCTAGCTTGCTTTCTGAACCTGCCAGAGGCCCAAAGAGTGGGAATGAGGGGAGTGCCCAGCGCACATATGTTTCTCAGTGCTGGGTTTTTTTTTTTTGCTTTCACAGGGTGTCAGGAGATTGCTGAGGAGTTTCGGTCACAGGAAATTGATGGCCAGGCCCTGTTGCTTCTGAAGGAGGAACACCTCATGAGTGCCATGAACATCAAGCTGGGACCAGCTCTCAAGATCTGTGCCAAGATCAATGTCCTCAAGGAGACCTAACAGCTCTGAAGCCAGAGGTCTCACTTTGCTCTGACCCCAGGGCAGCTGCCAGCTTTGGAGCATTCTGCTGGGGCAGGGAAGAATGGGACAGTCCCCTGTGGTCTTGCATTCAAGAAGAATGAGAAGGAATTTAACTGATTGAAACTGCCATGCACAAGCCCATGTCTTGGTCTCTTAATGGTGCTACAAGGGGGAGGAAAACTCCCACCTGGGGCCTTGAAACATCTTTCCTTCTTCCTGATTTTGAATATGACTCTCCTGTATATCACATAAAGACAGGAAGACAACCTGTTTCTGTCTTACCAGACTTCTGAAAGGGAACTGCCTGTGTCCCTTTTTGCAGGTCTGCTAGATCTCAGTTTTGAATCTCGCTGTGTCAGAACTTGAGGCACAGGAAGAGCTGGCCCCACATGGACATTGGGAGCAGCTGTGCTTGGGGCATTTAGGAAGGGGAACTAATAAATTCCAAGTGACAGAGGTGGACATACAAGAATTTGGGCAAAAGGGGCTGCTGCTGTTCCACTCTTAAATACCAAGGCTGTTCATGAACTGGGTTTAATAGCCATTCCAGCATGCATACCAAACTTGAAGGCCTGTGGCAATAGGAGCTGCCTTAGCTTTACTGTCTCCTGTAGAGATGCAGAGTGAAGACAAAGTGTTGCAGCAGCTATTCATTCCAGATGCTCTTCTATGAACCAGTCAGAGGGGGATTTATCCTGAGTACTTATGACAAGGTGGTAGGAAAATTGAAGGGGAGGGGGATCGTCTTACATTAGGGAACGCTGCAACACTAGGTTTGTCTCCCCATTGTGCTAGGGCATAATTTAGAGATCCAAAGCAGTCTCCAGAAGCACCAAGGCTCTTCATAAAATGGACTGGGGTTTTGGGGTTTTTTTGTGTTCTCTGATCAGTCTGTATTATTTTTGTGTCTGTCTTCATTATCCTCAGGAGAGCTTATGGGACAAAGTTTAAGCTGGCAGCATTGTATTGCCTGCCTGAGGGTCTTAGGTTTTTTTTTTTTTTTTTGGTTGGTGTTGTAAAACAAATATTTCTTCTCCTCAGTTCAAAACCAAAAATACACCCTCCAACAACTGAATACTAACCCTTTAATGCTACTTCTCCTTTCTAAGGGGTAGAATTATGTTATAGGCTGAGTCCCTCCCTTTCAGCCCCTCCACGTTTGTTTGGGTTTTTTTTAAGGACCAAATGTGGTATTCTGAAGTTTTGTAACCAGATTGCCAAAGGTGAAAACTTAGGCAGAGTTCTTCTCTTCCAGAAGCACCTCTGCTTCAAACAAGCAAAAAAAACCTGAAGAAATTACACAGAGCATGAAGAGGTAAGTGCCCCCTAGAGCCAAATACCTGAAAGCAAGATGATTTTATAAACCATGTGTTTCAGCTTTTCTGTTTTCAGAAGTTTCACATGAATATTTGAGTGAAACAGAAGACTGTTCTGTGTGGAAAGCACCTATTGATTGCAGGAAAGCTGTAGTGGCAAGGAAGGAGGCCTAATAGCATAGGTAGGAAAACATTAGAGATCATTGGAAGGGGTTCTTTCTTGACCCACATTAGACAGACAGAAGAGGGGAAGATGCTTAGAAGATGGATAAAATGTGTCAACAGACTTAACTGTACTGTTGAATCTCACTTTAATGACATCCTTGTTCCTGTGAGAGAAGACTTGTGAGACTTGTTGAATCAAAATAGGCCCAAGGGAAGCTGCCCACGCTTGCACCCTGATAACATTATTTGGTGTGATGTAATTTTGGGCAGGGGAGGGGGAGGTTAGAATCTCTAACTGCAATCAGTAGAGGAAGGCTGCCTTTAAACCATTTTATCCTTAGCAGGCTGGGTGTGATAAAACTCCAGTTTAGTTTTACCCTTGGCAGGGTAGGCAGGCAGCTAGCTTGCCTATGTTACTAGCTACTTCTGAGGACCAGATTTTATTTCAGTCAAAGGGGAAGGTTTCATTTCTTCATTTCATGTTCAGTGTTATTAATAAAAAAATGCTTGTTCAGGCTTTGCAGGTCTGTCTGCTTTTTAACACCCCCTTTTTAACACCAATCTGAACATTAACCTAGTGTTTGGAAGTACAACCTTTATCAAAAAGTTACTTTTGATTTTTATTGCTGCAGAGAAATATAGAGCATAGGAAACTTTTCCCATCTGTAACTACCTGAGCTTTTAAAATTTCAGTTATTAAGATGTATATACTTTCTAAAGCCCTAAGGGAACTGGAGTGATACAAGGTAGCAGTGAAAAACAGGTACTAACAAGAAGAGATCCATTCCTGGCAAAAGTAGCTCCGGCACAAGGCACCACACACTAAGGACTGTTCACACATGGATTAGTAAGATGCTCTGGCACCAAAGCTCCTGTTACATCAGCACAACACTTCACCAGGTTTTTTGGTCATTTTATTTTTGAAAGTTATGTTTTGTACAAAAAAAATTACCTTAAACTTCACCATGAAAAACAGTAACAGACTTAGTGACTTCCTATTTTTCCCATATTATGAGAAAGATTGAGACTGTAACAAAAGTCAAATAAAAAAACTGCCCACTCTAAACCCAGAAGAAAGCAGGGACACCCCTTTTCCCTCAATGTTACTGTTCAGAGTGCTTTGGCAGTAATAAAAAATCTGGAACCTTCTCTGTACTCTCCCATTAGCAGCAGTGGCTTGCTTATTCACAGTCTCTGCCCTCAACACTGAGGACAGTTCTCTGCCAGTCTACAACAGGGCAGAATGGAATTGCTTAGAATCTAGCCCCTCACATAAAAAACAACTAGGAAGCAAGGTGCCACGTTTCTGAAGGTACCAGTTAAGTCTTACAACTCGGCTATACCTGCTTTTCATCAAGATTCCAGGAGGAGGTCTCAGCCAGTAGCAGTATGCAAGTACCATCTGCACAGGGCAAGTATCTTAAGCCTGGCCTGCAGCATGCTTAAGGGGACAGTGATTTATGAAAGCTGGTCTTGTAGGTGTTAGAGTCCCTTATGCAGTTTTGAATGTGTTAGCATTCTTGTCCTTAGCTTCTATGGTTCCTTTTTTTAAATAAAAATAAATTCTGGTAGCTTCACAGGAAAACCCTCTCCCAAACGAGGAACTTCTGGACAGCATGAAATCGCAATGGTGACAGTGACTGTGCAGTGTGGGCAGTCACCTTGGAAAACTTGTAACAGAACTGGAGGGGCAGCTACCTTTCTCTTTTTGCCTTGATGTCAGTTTCAGCAAATGTTCCCTTTACTTAGCAGCATGTAACTTCCTTTTGCTTCTCAATGATTGAGAAGACTGAGACAGTATTTTGACTGAAGTGGAAAGTCACAAGACTGTATTTTAACTCAGTTTTTTAGCATTGCCCCTCTCTGGTCTGAGAGGATGGCATGCATCCCTTTATATGTGTTGAAGGAAACTGATGTTTACTCCTCAACATATTGCCATTAGGAAAAGAAAAGGCTGCAGAGGTGCTAATGCCTCTTCCACCTCCATGGAGTCTGGCGTAGAGCACTGTGCAGGTTATGCTGGCAGAGACAGTGTTTAACAGTGCAGAAACTACAAAAGCTGAAAATGCATTCAAAGAAAAATAGTTCCAGTGTCTTACAGATCCTGTAAACCCTATGAAAAAAAAAAAAAACCAAAAAAAACAACCACAAAAGATCCCTCCTACAGTCTCAGCTGTTTTAACCCACTGCATCCTTTTCCTTCCCCTTTCTGCACTCAGCCATAGTCCTTTTTTCTTCTCAGAGATTCATCTACCATTCCAGTGCTGAATGCTCATATTGCTTTCTTGCTGTCTTGTACTCAGCTCTCAGCACTTCCACCCCCCCCACAGCTCTGCTGCATTTTTAAAGACCTGAAACAGCATTATATTCATAAGACATACCATCAGGGACCAGTGCTGTTCGCTCCCAGAGGCATTCATAGGACTTGACACACCAGAGAGCAGCAAAAGCAAATAGTGTAAAGAAAATCAGAAGTGAGAGAAGGAGAACGGGCTGGGAGGCACCTGGCTAAACAAGCACTGGGGAGATGGGGGAGAAAAATAATTCAGCGTTGAAAGCCTATCACATTGGTAGCAAGTGGTCATCCCGTTCTTCTGACTCCTCACCCAGCTGGTCATCACCCACACCACGGTATGCAGCTGGTGCATTTCGAGGCTTAGATCGGCAGACAAAATCACAGCCATCCTACAAGCACAGGATATCACACTGCAATCAGACTGTATGCAATCCAAAGCAGCTTCTGTGATTTCTCCTTTGCTAAGGAATTATTTCTATCCCCATGCTATCTGGGACAGATCCCCAAAACTCGTCTTGACAAGAGAAGCACACATACAAATATCCTACTTGGTCTTGAAAGCTCTGAGGTAGAATGTGGTACTGATTAATAGTATGCAGCAACATCAGGCTGAGATGAGCATGGAGGATAAGTGGCACTGCCTACAGTGACCAAGGAAGGGTTTCAGAGACTTGGACATGAACATGTCAGAGTCCACAGCTTAACATTCCTACCTGGAAGGTGTTAAGCACTAATGAGCATGCGTTCTAGTTCGTTCTGTAGCAATCACAGGATATCAGCAGGGAATCAGACTCAGCAAGGATTCAAAAATAGGGTACTCAAAAAAAAAAAACCCACCAAAAAACCTCTCACAGATATCCTCTTCTGCCTCAAGGTATGCTACTCTAGTGGTAGGTCTATGCAAGAGACATAGTCCACAAAGACAAGGCAGATGCCATTTTCTGCTGTCCTAACATATGGGCTAGCCTGGGAATTTAGAGGGATTTTCACTCACCGCCACCAAATTGCCTAGATCTTGCCAGAAGGCCAAGTGAGGAAACTGCTCCATGCCCTTTGCTCCCACTACAAGGCGCTGGTAGAGGAACCCACCAATGATGTAGACTGCAATCAGTGAAGCAAACCTGGAGGGCAGAATTAAAAATCAGAGCTGAGGAAATCCTATAGACAATCTCTTCCAAGCCAGCTACCTGACTGAGATTGGCATTGGAGCCAAGTAGCTGAGCACCACTCAAGAACAGAGCTATAAACAGAGACCAGACCAGAAAAGGTCCCCAAAATATTGATCTGCTAGTATAAATCTTTCATCAGCATTACACGAAGCCTCTAAGCACAAACACAGAAAATTAGTCAGGACTGCTAGTCCGAATTCCCAACTCTGGCAAACAGCTGTTGTACAATCTTAGGAAGTCATGTCTTTCATGTTTCAGTGCACTTGTCTGTAAACTATGAAGGAAGATGTCTACAGGGAACAGCATCATGCCTTAAGCAAGAGCTTTTGTCCAAAAAGCTCAGAAGCATAGTAACATCTAATGGTGGCTGTGGATAGGCATACTACAATTGTCTAGTATAGCAATTTGCTATGTTTCTAAATGGCACTGGAGATTATGACACAAACATGAACAGCTCTTCCAATGACTCACGTGATCAGCAGAATGGAGCCAACACTGAGGTGGGAATCCTCAGCTGGACAAGCCACAGTGCTGTCCATCTCAAAGAGGTAGAAACAGTCCTGCTCCTTTTCCCGCTCTTCTGAAATTATGCTGAATGAACTCTGTGATTTGGGAAGAGTTAAGACATGTGAAAATACGTGCAGACACGCTGAACTTTACCAGAAGACAGTTTTATCACTATTGGTGCAGCTGGGCAACAGACACCGGAAGGCAGAAGAAAACCTCGCTGCCTCCTCAAAGCCCTTCTGCTTTTAAACAACTGTTTGTCTGGCATCCTCCTGCTCCTCTCTCCCTCTTGCGTCACTCACCGCTGTAACTCCCTGCTTGCAAGAAATCATTATCACAGCTCTTCTCTTCTCCCCACTGCAGTGCCTGCCATATGAATCACCTCCTTTATAAATCAGCATGATCCAGTCACCTGCCAGGAGAGAAAGAATATAGGTTGCAAATCCAGATCAGGAGGTGAAAGGTAGATACTAAGTAAGAAAAGTATTGAGTGCGGTCTTACTTCCGTTGAAGACCTGGGTTTCATTGATTCTTCCTATCACTGTGGTCCTTCCATTCTGTCTATCTGTCTGCACCAGGCCACCAAAATCGTGCAAGGTGCTATTGACCTCCCTGCACACCCTGAAATGGTAGATGTAGTTTTCTGTTTTGCCTTTCTCCACAGTCACATTAAACCTGCAGCAGGGAGAGGACAGAACAGACAGCCCATATGATTACAAAGAACACAGCTCAGAGCAGCGGACACTTGAGACCTGGAAGCCAGTCATGGCCCATACTAAAGGGGGAAGCCCATTCTGCAGTCTGGCCCCAGATCTTCCCCTACCTTGGGCTAAGGGTAGCGTGTTTTACAGTACCTCATCTGGCTCAGGGGCTCTAGTTTCTTCAGCAGGGCTCTTTCCATTTGTGACTCACTGCTCTCATCACCAATCACATCGCAGCTCCTCTCTTTCGACTGTTCAGCCCCCACACCCACAGCAAGGGCCATAAAGACTACCAGCACAGCAAAGGTATGGCAAGGTGATGACATCCTGGACACAGAGAGAACACAGAGGATTAACTCTTTCAGCCCCCTGTAAACAAACTTCAGGGTCATGGAGTCAATAATTAGCTACTTCCTCAGTTCTGACTGCAAAAAGAAGAAGTCAAAACCTAGAAAAATATCAGTTCCCAGGAGACACTAAATCTGAATCTCTTGCACAGTCAAAGACTATTCACTGGGCCAATTTGCATTTCTTTTCCAAATTTTGCCTTAGGACCACAAAAGGTTTGCTGCTGAGCACATTAATTAGCATTGATTCAGCCAGAGCAGGGCCCAACTGGCTAGATGCTGGAGTAAGTTTCAGGCATAAGCCATTGTTTTGTTATTGCGTTGAACTGAGAAGCCACCCAGCAGAAAATTAACCAGGCCTCTGATCAATCCTCTTTGCAACACTCTTGTGAAGAGCCTGTAGGGCAAAGCCACTG